TTGAAGCCCTAATCATAAACTACAGAAGTAGACATCTATGACTCATTTTAAGGCAAATGTTAGTAATTATAACACAAGTTAGTGTCACAATCGTCAGCACAATAACTCTGACTTACTTTAAATGAGAAATTACAGAATGAATGCCATGATCTGGGTTGATGTGCTGCACTGCAGTCTGCAGACATGAAAACCTTTTCTCTGGATGGGGTTGAGACACTATGCAATGAATGTTTGAAAGTTTGGCCCCTACTGAAGGACCTGGAGAAAGTTTCAGCGCACTGACTTTGTGCTGAATCAAGTTGACGTAGAACTCCGCCAACACCGCTCTCTGCAGTGTTGCACTTTTTTTTTTCTCTGTGCTCCTGTATTTTCTCCTGTGGTGCAACCGGACTTCTGGAGACTCATAATGATCAGCTGCATTCTATTCTGATTTCACATCTAAACCATGTCCATATGGTCAATTTGAGGCTGATTCTGAGCTGCTGGCCACAAATTATTAGAGCAAAGTTTTATTAATCTGAGCTCAAGTTGTCGTTTGTTTGTCAAAGACAGCAACATCTTGGTTTATATTCAAACATAAGTTGTAAAATCCACATGTTGTTGTTATTAATCACTTAGAAAATTAAGCTGCAGGATCTAAATAAAGAAATTTCTCTGCATAAATGCAAAGTATGTTGTTCATTATTAAATGTTTGGCCATCAGGTGGGCTGTAATAATACTAATAATATGTACTATCTTACTGTTTTCTTTTTTCTTCTCAGATTTAACACTTGGTCTAAAAAGTTAATAACTGTATGACTTACACATTTCAATGAGGTTATCTATCATGTTGCTTTCCGCTGTTGATGTTGAAGTCTGTGGGAATCACACCTGATCAGCATGTGGACAGCTGATTCCCTGATAGCTGTATTGACAGTGCTCTGAGGTTTTTTTGTTTGTTTTTTGCAGCCTCTGCTACTGCAGCTCACCTGCACCCAGGAGGCTTCATCAGCCTCGTTCAGACACAGCTCCAGAGAGAAAAGCAGCCCTTACTGGAAGGTGTTGGAGGTGCTGATGGCACCGTTGGAGCTGAGGCTGTCAGAGTCACAGGCACTATTTTACACACCCTGCCAGGGAGCTGTGCATGAATATGTATGCCAGAGAGAAAGAAGTCATAACCTATGCAAGGTTTCATCATGCATAATGCAGTTGAGCTACGCCTCTCCAGAATGGGAATGTGCACAAGCAGGCTCTCACACACGCACACACTTGACGTTCACAGCTGTATTGTGTTGAGGTGAGTAAACAAACTCAAACCCCCCAAATGCTTCACACATTCTCATACTTCTGCACGCTCCCCCGTGCACAACTGCAGACAAGCTGCCCTCCTCCTCTCTCACCTTTTTTATCTGACACTGGAACCATTCTCACAGCCTTTTATCTTTACTTCCTGAATTGACAAAGGTCAGAAAGTAGGATTCAAAGTGTCAGTCTGGCACATCAGCCATGTTATCTGCCAAAGACTTCTCCCTCCTCTCCGTTGCCTCTTGCTATTTTTGAAACGGCTTCATTTCCAGCGTGACTGTAGTTTGGCTTTGACTCTGTTCTCGACTCATCTTCTCGCCGTCACTCATCCGTCAGGTGTTTTTGGGGACAGAAAGTTGTGTTTTTGAATTGATGGCACAAGGGACTGAAACATAAAGCGGCAGCGCAGGAGTCACTGGGAGGAGGTGCGCAGCAGGGAGGGGTGTGAATTGAATATTGGTGAGATATGGGGGGGGGGTAAAGATAGATGTAAGCTTATAGATAATCCCCAGGGGGGTGGAGTAAGTGGGTGACTGCTGGGAAGTAAAGAGGGAAGGTTGTTCAGGTTACATCTAATCAGATGAGGGTATTGCGTCCACCCCCCCACCCCCCCACCCACTGCCTATATCAGTACACCCCGTCCCCAACAATCTGTTCCCCAACCCCACCCCCTGGACTGTGCTGTGTCAGTAAAAAAAAGTGTGCTACTTCAGCAGTCCCCCGGGACCTGCTCCCCCCCCCATCAAAGCAGCCAGTTTCTCTCTTAATGTGAATATCAAATCTGTGGATCACAAGTCCCAGCACAGTCTGCATAAACTGCCCCTCCCCCAACCTTTAATTCTGCCTAGTGATGAGGGAAAGAGAGGGAGGGGAGTTACTGCGAGAGGAAGCGATGGAGGGAGGGAGGGAGAGATGGAGATAGAGGGAGATCCAACCAAAACAACGACTTGCTTCAGAGAGTTGACATTTGCCGAACACTCCCTCCTTCTGAATATGTGCAGCTCCGGCATCCAATAGCATTCAGAGGAGGTCCGGCTTGATTTAGCAACGCTGTGTTGTTACACAGAGTTCTTGCCAGAGAAATTTTGCACATTCATTTGGGGTTTTATTTGTTTGTTTATTGTTTCCCTGTCCTTTGCTGGTTGTTCCTAAAAATGGGACATCGTTGGGATTTGTTTCAGTTTAGTGGTCAAACTGAGAAGTAGGGATGCCAGCTGGTGAGGCAGAAAGTACAAAAATCTGATGACTCTTTGTGGCTAAGAAATTTCTTTCATTTCCCTCTTTTTCTTTGTGATGCAAACTGAAATGTGGGGGTTAAAAATAACATATTTTTTTATCCACCATTAAGCTCTTGATTTTTCTTCCGTATGTCTCTTCTTTTTGTCTTTTAGAATTTTAAAAGGAAAATTCTCACAAATGTTTAACAGCCCCTGAACATAAGCCCCTGCAGAGACCAAATCTGAGTCAAATCAGCTGAGAAAGCTCTGAATTTTCCCTGCAACCCTTTTACCAGACTGGTGTTTTTACATCCTTGAGTATACAATTAAGTAATGCCAGGTTTGAGCTGGTGTGAAAATAATAAAAGACAGAAGAAAACACAAGAAGTAGGCCTGGATCCTGCCAGAGGAATGATTGGCACCCCTGTGGACCATGCAGCGTTGTCACTGAGTGCTGCATATTGCTCAGACTGCGGCTTTAATTGTGCAGCAATGGAGGCAAAGGGAAGTGGGGGGGCTCATTCTTGAATGCTAGCAAGTGTGTGTGTGTGTGTGTGTGTGTGTGTGTGTGTGTGTGTGTGTGTGTGTGTGTGTGTGTGTGTGTGTGTGTGTGTGTGTGTGTGTGTGTGTGTGTGTGTGTGAGAGAGAGAGTGGTAGGGGGGTGGGGGGTGAGAACAGGGGGAGAACCCCCCTGCCTTTTTTCACCTCTAATTTAACACATCCAATAAAATTTTCAGCAAGAAACGCTTCGATTTTTTGTCTCATTCATTAAATTTTACTTTGATTAAAATGAAAATGTTAAAACAGGTTTTTAAATCATTAAAATCAATCTGATACTTACTATAAATTAATTCATAATTATAATGAAATAAATAAAATACATTTCGATCATTTTCAGTGATGCTTTCATTTAAAATGTCTAAATACTCTCAGGGTGTTTTTTTTAGGCCCAGATGTTTTTAAGTCTAAAGAATCAATGATAACTTCCGGTCCAGGTCCCACTGAAACCAGTCCGACCCCCCAGGGACGTCCCCATGGCCTGCCTTCCTCCACGCGCCCGCGCCGGTCTGGCACGCGCACGAACACGTCGGCGGGCTCCAGGTGCGCTATTAGCGAGGAACATGACCGGGCAAGTCTCTAATCTGCACCCGACGCCCCTGGAGTTTCTCATTTGGTGAAATAAATTTGCCTATTTTAATAAGATTCCGCGAGGCGCTGAAATCACATCCGTTCAGCTGGAATCAAAGCTAGAAATCAATAAGCAGGAAAACGTGCGAATACGTAAGGTGATCAGTAGCCTATTAATTAAAACTAAAATGTGATCAATTGATTTGAGACGCAACGGCATGAAATGGCCACACGTCCCTCTAAATTTACTTAAGACGTGCATTTAACCCAGTAGGCCTACATAATTCATGATTTAATGGTTGTGATAATTAGAACAAAATCATGAAATCAGAAGATCCAGAGCACGCAGGCCTGTAAACACTCCCATGTGGAGTGTGGCATTTCTGTTATTTTCGACGCAGATTTATTCCGGGATTATTATAATACACTGTAAAAGCAGAAGATCAACTTCTTTGCAGCAGGGTCAGGGATTTGATGCTTTCGGCGCAACAAAGACAAATGAATTAATTTAAACAAATGGACCGCTTTTTCTTTTTTCTTTTTTTTCATTTGCAGCTAAATGTTAAAGGCAATTTCCCCCCAAAAAAGGAAAAGAATTAGATAAGGACAAATCTGAATAGTCTAATTACGGCCTTTATGTGGGTGTAGACCTATTAGTGTAATAAGAGCATTCTGGGAGAAAGGGGGCCTTTAATTTGCCATCAAATTGCAACTATTCGTCACTACAGAGAAGGGTTTCTATAAAAGAAGAAGAAGAAGGAAAATCATCCAACAATTAGGAGCGTCTCTGTGGTGATGAGCGCCTGTTCCTAAAGCAGCAATTAGCCATGGCTACATGATGGAAGCATGGAGATATTTTAAATAAATCACAAACACCCGCCTCAGAACTTTGAGTGCAGCATTCTGAGTAAACATCCAGAATGAGGTATTTTTTCATTAAAATCACTAGGATTTAAATTGCGCCTCATTCTGCGTGCGTTCGCGCCTCAGTCTCCCCCATTCAGCCATTTTACATATTCATAACTGGAGTTGGTAATGCGAAAACAATCCGTGCTCCATCAGCTCCATCTGAGGCGTCAAGGTGCGCTGCACAAACCCCCCAACCATCCCAGTAAATATAGACACCTCCTGCCCCTTCACCTGCACAGCAAACCTCACCCGCTGCACTTTCAAACGTTGTTTGTTAAAAATCATTTTAACAATTCCTTCATTTAGATTTTCAGTCAGACATGAGCGTCAGTTATGTAGGCTTCAGCAGCGAGAGTACAATCATTCACAATTACAGCCAATTTAATTCCAATTAAAGGAAAATGTTAAGTATAACTAGGATTATAAAATATTTCAATAAACCTTTTTTTAGGGTTTCTTACCTTCTTGGAGAGAGTACAGCAGGAGTAAAGTTACAAGCCACATGCCATAAATAGCAGGTATATTTTTCAGGAATTTTTGGCAATCCTGGTGACTGAGAGGCGCCTTTTTTTGGCCAGGAGGGTCTCCGTGTTGGACTGGCGACTGTGCTCCCGGGAGGTCTTTCCAGCCCTGCTGCCCCGCTAGGCGTGGAGGGGAGACGAGAGGCGCCTCGGCCCCGCCCATGTCCCCTCCTCTCTCCACGAGACTACCGGGCATACAAATCCATCTTTACCCCCTTAAAAAACGAAATAACAAACGAATAAATCAGGTGATATCTGAGAGCATTTAGTTTCAGCTGCAGCGCTGCGTTCTGGTGTCCAAAACTGCAGCGGATGCGCTGCGCACACCGAGCTGTTGGCACCTTGGAGAGAGCGCACCCACCTGTGCGCCCTGAAGACCACGTTTCTTTGCGCAATATGGATGTAGATAGTCGGTCTGTAAGATCTGGACTCTGATGCGTGTCGACGCGCTCTTTTTTGTATGAGTTTGGCCTCTGAGAGACGCCTCAAAGCTGGAGACGGATGCAACAAATTCTCTTTGTCTTAAAGCAGGCAGCGACAATTGCGCACAGAAATGCACTGCAGAAAGAGAGTGGCGGGGTGTGCGGCATGACAAGTTCATACGGCAGGTAGATCCAAACCACTAAAGGCAGCTCTAAACCAGTAAACAAACTTACTGGACTCGTGTTTGACTTGGGATGTTGGCTGATGGGGATCACAGCTCCACCATAGAACAAACGAAGGGAAGCAAGTTGCATGCAAAAACCTCCCAGTTGCATCTGCAGCAGCCGCTCAGACCCCAAAACACCACAACCGGCCTTTAACCAAATTACAACACGAGGCAATCGAAAGCATAAATATTAATGCATTCCAATGAATTTTGCGTCAAAATGCGACTGAGGGAAAAAAACACGACGGAGTAAAAATCTGTTTTAACATTTTTTTCTCCTTTATGATCCAAAAGTGAATCATTTGAATTGGATCAAACGAGTTTCCGGTTAAAAGGAAAACATGAACCACTCTACTGATAAAATTGTTTCAAAAGTTTGATTTAAATATAATCTCAAGAGTTCTGTGGGAATTTAACGTTTCAACATCCTGTCAGCATTAAAGAACAGCAGAAAATAACCCAAGTATTAATACTCATCGAAATGTTTCAAGTAAAACTTGAAAGAAGTTCACAAAACAGAGTTGTCACATCTGGAAACTTTTCTCCCCATCACCCGCAGCTGCCTCTGCGACCTGCTCAGACCTGCAGTTCAGTGTTGAGTCTTTTGTGAGTCACTACTGACATCTGCTGGACACACATGGAAAAGACGTTCACTAGTTATATCCCCAAATATAGAATCAATCACATGCTTCGTTGAGATAATTTGGAGTTTAATTCACCAAATTATTTTCAGCCACTTGTTGTTTAATACTTAAAATTCTGGCATGCAAAATCTGAGCTGTAAGTGTAGCTTTAAAATGTTTGACTCAGGTTTTATGATTTAAACCCATAATGACACTGAACTAAGATACACACGGAAAAGGATGACACAGATTACATTTTAAAAGAGGCCAAACCCACCTCCCTACAAATTTTTTTTAAAATAGCTAAAACACTAAACCCTGTTGTCTGAACCAAATGTGAAGTTGCTTGAACCCACTGATTGAATCAATCACTCTTTTGGCAACATCACAAGCATTTTCACCTGTTTAGACACCACTTGCCAACACTATTTCATTGTGATGCACCTGTGCTGCATAATGGTGAGCACAGGTGTCACCACTTGAACAAAACAAAAGATTGATCACGCTTGTGGCTAATGATGTGGGGGAACATAAAAAGTAAGCCAATTCAAAGAGTACTGATTTGTGACGCCCTACAATGGACAGAAATCTGAGAGGAACAGGTCGTGTGAGCGGTGGTCATCGACGACAAAAAACAGTAATATCTGAAATCAGAGTGATCGGCCATGTTCTTGTCCAGCATGAGGGAGGCTGGACAAAGGGTGCAACCAAACATCAGTAGATTCACTGTGCCCACCATAATCTCACGATATGGAGAAGAGCACAGTTAATTGCCTTTATGTGACATCATAGTGCAGTAAATGTTGACAGCAATCACTGTATGATTTACTATAGAGCTGGTAAGTCCCACCCATCTGTGAAGCCCCACTGGACCTCTAGATTATGTAAAAAATAAAAATAAAAAAAACATCAATGCAAGTGAATGAACGAAAAGGATTATTTTCTCACATTTACTTGCATTGACAATTTTTCAGTCTAGAGGTCTAATGAACTTTGGACTGTACCACAGTAAGTGAACATGTTTCAGTACATGACTGTCCCAATGGGTTGTTCTAACTGTTTTCAGGCCTATCCCATGTATGGTTTTTTTATCTCTATGTTCTCGCCTCTGTCAGTGCGCCCCGGGGCAGCTGTGGCTACATCGTAGCTCATCACCATCGGTGTGTGAATGTGTGTGTGTGTGAATGGATTTTACACTGTAGTGTAAAGCGCCTTGGAGTCCTTACTCTGAGAGGTGCTATACAAGTGCGAGTCATTTATCATTTATCATATATGTGTAGAACTCAACGACTGCCATATGGGGGTGGGAGGACAGGTATGTTCTCCCCACACCAAGAGATCCTAATTGTTGTTATGGTCTGTGAGGAAAAATGCCGTTACACTGAGACACTCAGCAGAAGATGATTGAGGACCATGTAAATTTTGAGGGTATCAACAGTGTCAGCCTCTCTGCTGTCGATCGTGTCCTCAAGCACAACAGACTGTATAATTTCATGCACAGAGTGCCCTTTGATTGCAATTCGTCAAAGAGAAAAGATTCCAGTATGTACAGGTGGGCATATATCCAGACACATTCAATGTGAAGTACTGAATTACTGTAGTGGCCTAAATCACTTTTTGCAAAACTATCTGCTTCAGAAGGTTTTTCAACTGGATGCAATGGAAAGACCCCATGAATACATCTACGTGGATGAAGTTGTGTTTAATCTCACCAAAAGGAGAAAGAGAAGCCATGATTGGCCATCGGGCCATTGTTGGTGTTCCTAGGCAGCGTGGTGGTAATGGCACGTTATGTGCTGCCATCAGCATTCATGAGGTTTTCCATCATGCACATCTGGTGCCTTACAACACTCAGCAGCTCGTTCTTTTCCTCAGTCACATGCAAGATTCTCTTTTAGGGCATCAGGATCTATGTCCATCTATGTTTGGGACAATGTGAGTTTTCCGAGACCTCCAGGTTAGAGTGGTTCAATATGAACAAAGGTTTTATCAATATTTGCTTTCCACCATACTCCCCTTTCCTAAACCCCATTGAGGAATTCTTCTCCTCATGGCGGAAGGTATATGAAGGCCATCCTTACACCAGGGTAATTCTCCTGGAAGCCATGCAACTTTCCTGTGGTGACATAGGTGTGGAGGCACACCCTGGATATGGCATGCCAGGGTTTTATTTATTTTTTTAAGTTTTCAATCGTTGCCTGGCCAAACAAAGTGTGGCCTGTGATGTGGATGAAGTTCTGTGGCCTGACCCAGTATGGTGACATGATGCTGTGGCTGCTGAGTAATGCACTTACATGGTATTTGTATATTTTTGTACTTTATTTGGACGTGGGCTTACTGTACACAAGTGGCAAATGCATAAGATTTCTGTTTGGTCTTTTTGTACAAGTGCTGAATGTGTTTTATTTTTGTTTTGTAACATTCATTTTGCTTACAGAAAACTATAAACGATTATTTCTCCAGCTTCATGTCCTGAGTGTCTTCTATTTTTCTACATAGTGCTTAGTGACTGTTCAGTAGTGTTCTAGTTTTGATTCACTCAGGCCACAATTTGACATCAAGGCTCAGTTTTGTGCACAGATTGAACTGTTTTGCAGTGAAAGTTCAGTTTTGCAAGAGGAGTCTGAGGTTTAGTGGATTTAGCTTGAAAATTGGGTTTGTGTTCACAGTTTAGAGAAAAGGAGAGCACCTTTAAAGAAATGTCTTAGTAATTGAGAAACTGTAAATGAGTCTTACATGAGCAAGAAGGGGAATTAATGCACTCTCGTGGCGAAAACCTAAAACAACAATTTAGAGAATATTCTACCCTCATGCCATTGAAGCTGGGAATAAAGTTTTGTACTCTTGTGAATAAGGAACTGGATGGCCAAATCAGTAAGTAACCAGGGGCCTCATTTATCAAGCTTGCTTACACACAAAACGGGGGTCGGAAAACTGCATAAGCAACTTTCCATGCAAACTTTTGGATTTATGAAAGCAAACTTAGCGGAAAAATGTGCATGACGTCAAGTTGACTAAGGACCTGGCTTTCGCACATTTTGGACATGGAGAGCACCTGCAGTGCTGCTGCTGAGAAGGATAAAATTATGAAATCCTGCAGCATTATCACTTGTACTGCTTCGTTTTCACACAGAACAAGACCCCCCACATGCACACACGCACGCACACACTCACACACACGTGTGCACCCCTCCCTCACACACACACACACACAGCCTGGGAAATAATTTTTTGGGTGTCACATACCCCCAAATCCCTAAAACGCATAGAAAACTATGCTATCATCATTACAGTTCTTCCATCCATATATCTATCTTTTCCTTTGATCCATTCCTTACACTACCCTCTGCATTTACCCGGGCTTGGGACTGGCACAAATGGGACACTGGCTTGTTCCCTATTGGGGCTGTATGAATCATCTATCTATCTATCTATCTATCTATCTATCTATCTATCTATCTATCTATCTATCTATCTATCTATCTATCTATCTATCTATCTATCTATCTTTTAATGTTTTTATCTTTTTTATGTCTTTAATCTATTTTATCTTATCTGTCTATCCTTCCATTTTTTTATTTATTTTTTTAGAATTGTTGTTTTTATTTCTTTATGGCTTTTATCAGTCATTACAGAATCAGCCGTCTGCTTTTCTGTGCAAAAGTACTAACAAATCCATCCATATCTAGGCCTGTTATGGCCTTTTCGTGAGCCAGAATGACTAAATTTATTTTTCTCTCATGTAGCGTAGTACGGCAGAACAGGGCAAGGACACGAGACAAAGTGGAGAAAGAGCTCTCGCATGATGCTGCTGATATTTCAATCACAAGGGAGGTCACATACATGCGATGGAGCTGAGGAAAGGCATTCTTTTGCCCATGTAGATATTTGCAAACGGTGGAGAGGTCTACAAACTCTACACTGTTATCATCATCAGTCTTTCTGAATTCTTTCTCCAACGTTATTTTTGCAACAAGTATCGCATTGGAAAGTTTGTCACTTCCTGTCATTTTCTGCAGAGGACTTAACATGTCAGGGTCCAGAAGAGAGGGAGACTGAGGTTGAAGGCAGTTAACTGCCCTCATGAGATTGAGATTGCTTTTGGAGAATCTTGTCTCCATCTCTACAATGACTATGTCCAAAATGTTGAGAAGAGCTCTCTTCAGAGCCTGACTAGGAGTTGTGGAGTCTTCTGCATGGCCCACAGTGGACATTACAACACTACATGTTAGCAATGAGCTTGTTTTTTTGTCCTTTAGCAGCT